GGGGGGGGGGGGGGGGGCGAGGGGCTCCCACGACGCCACACACGCATTGTGCGTCATTTTCAGGGACCGCACCTCGTCAACACGGGCCTAAACGCCGCTGCTTGCGGAGCGTCACCCCGCCAAAGCGGTGTGTGTGTGTGTGTCTGTGTGCGCGTGCCGTGGCGCCGACGGCAAGGACGAGGAAGAGGCTGCCTTGCCACATAGTGTACGACGAGGACGCCCTCGATGGTGGTTTAGTAGAGGCAGCGCTTCGCGCGCCCGTTAAGGAATCATCTCTCTCTCTCTCTCTTTCTCTCTCTCTCTCTCTCTCTCTCTCTCTCTCTCTCTCTCTCTCTCTCTAACTATCTGCTTATCAAATTAACCTCCTCGCGGGATGCTGGAACGACGACTCAAGGAGGAACAATCGCGGCTTGACTGATTCCGGGCGGAATGTCGCTCTGTCCCTCTCGCACCCGCGCGGAACGCCCCATCGCCTGCGAGTGCGAGAGAGAGAGAGAGAGAGAGAGAGAGAGAGAGAGAGAGAGAGAGAGAGAGAGAGAGAGAGATGTGCGCCGCTAATCTCCCTGCTCCGCGTGCTCCACGGGTCGTGATTGATGTGTCGCGACTAGTTTGGCCCGAAAGTAGTGGCGGGGCCGGAGAAGGGGCGCGTCACTGTCAGATAAGGAGACGGCACGCCTGGGATGGCGGCGTGTAACAATCGCGCAGTGGCGTGGTGAGCGACGCGCAGACCGAGGGAGACAGACGAGACGGCCGCAGCGACCGCCCCACTCTGGACACGATTTGATCCGCAAAGCCTTATTCGAATCAGACTCGAACTGAACACGTGATCGTACCGACGGACACCTCGTCCGAGAGGGAAATCGGTTGGCGGTATCATGGGTGCGATTGGCCGATTGCGATTGGACATGGATTGGAGTCGCCGGTTCCGGGTAGGCTCGTCACTCTCGTTTTCATTCTCTCTCTCTCTCTCTGTCTCTCTCCGTCTCTCTCTCTCTCTCTCTCTCTCTCTCTCTCTCTCTCTCTCTCTCTCTCTCCTCTCTCCCTCTCTTCTTTCTCTCTCTCTCTCTCTCTCTCTCTCTCTCTCTCTCATCTTTCTCCCTCCATCTCTCTCTCCGTCATTTCCGTGTAATCCCCGGCAAGGCTGCGGCGGCGCAGCGAGGCGGCCGGCTAAACCGCGCGGACATTCGCCGGCGATACTACGGCCGCGCTGATAAATAATGCAGGCTGGACTACGCGCGTGTGTGTGGGAGAGAGGGAGAGAGAGAGAGAGAGAGAGACGCACCGCAGCGCTGCATGTCGGCGGTGGCAAAAACTACATAGACGCGTGCTGCGCCGTCCGTCTGGCCTGGCACCGCATCATTACAGCGCGTGTCAGCCTCTGGCAGTCTCTCTCTCTCTCCCCTCTCTCTCTCTCTCCCTCTCTCTCTCTCTCTCTCTCTCTCTCTCTCTCTCTCTCTCTCTCTCTCTCTCTCTGTCGACGCTGACCGAGCCGCATCCGGCCGCACTGCCTGCCAGCCCTTCCGACGCGTCATGCCGCGACTCGGGGAGGTCCCAAGCCGCGCCGCGTTGCCGCGCCGTCACACGGCCGTGCTGCGTGGCCGCGTCACTGCGTACAACGCTCGCGCACTTTGCGTCACTTTTAACGCCCCTAATTTGCAGGCTGCCAAAATGGAGCCGGCGGGGCGGGGCGTTAGTGGCACACACTGTTGTGGTGCGTGTCCTCGTCAACGACCCAGGCGCGTCGTCAACACCCCGCCCCCACGCCACGCCATGCCAGGCCCCCGTCCACGGCGGACGCCGCTCTTTAAGAATTAAAAAGAATGGAAAGCTCTTGGCGCGAGGACTGCTTAGTCGTGCCTGCCGTGCCGGATACAAAGGACGCGCTAAGCACGCCGATTAAACCAACCCCCGCGCGCTCTCGCTCTCACACACACACTCACACACACACGACACACACGCACACAGAGCGACCAGCACGACACGGGGTTAGGGGTGGAACAAACGCTGCGGTGAGGTTGTTGACGGTGCGTGGCGCGGCGTGGCGCGGCAAGGCGGCGAGTGAGCAGGGAACAGAGTGGGGTCGCGTTGCGGGCTGACGTTGGCTGCTGCAGTCTGCAAGGCCGATCCGCTGTGTGTGTGTGTGTGTGCGTGTGTGTGTGTGTGTGTGTGTTGGCGTATCTTCTCCATTCCGCACTCACGCCTCGCCTCCCGCTAATATTTCCTCCCCCATCCCTCATGTGCCGCTCCTCCTAGGCCCCGGTTTCCCCGGTTGGGCCGCTGCCGCCCTCTGCAGTGATCCATCAACGACCAGGGTGTCCCCAACTCCGGCCCCGCGGCCCGGGCGGCGGCCCAGGCCCTTTGGGTCCCCAGCGAGAGAGAGAGAGAGAGAGAGAGAGAGAGAGAGAGAGAGAGAGAGAGAGAGAGAGAGAGAGAGGAGAGGGGGGGGGGGGGGGTGCCAGCCAGCGCAGTGCAGTGCCGGGTCGCCCTGCGCCGCCCCTACGGCCGTCCCTGGCCGAGGCTGACCCCGGGCGGACCCTTCGGGGCCCTTCGGAACGCCCTGCGGTGGTCGCGCCCTGGACGCCCTGGACGGCCCGGACCACACGCCGCGGCGCCCGGCCGGCCGTTGGCCGAGGCCTGCGGCATCCGGCCCGAATCTCGGTGTCAGCTCATTAGCCTCTACGGGCCGAGGCCGAGCCGAGGCCGCTGCGAGTCTAGGCCCCCGCCCGAGTGGAGGCAATTCCGTTAGCCAGTGTGCCGGCATTGCAGACTGATTCCCAGCACTGCTTTCGTCGCTCTGTCTCTCTCACACGGTGGAAACGGAACCTGGTTTCCCCAGGAAGCCCATGGTGAAGACATAGGCGATTTCCAGGGAGTTCCTGGGAACACCAGGAGCCGTTTTTACCGTGCACCCCTGGACGGGGTGCCCCGAGAGTGCGAGAGAGACAGGGCGACGGACTGCGACTTATGACTCTGATTGGCTGTCTGCAGGAACCCGAACCAGGCGACGCCGGGGCAGCACGACCGCGAGGGCAAGGAGCGCGGCAAGCAGCGCGGCGCCGTCGGCTGGGACGAGTACGACGCCGGCCACCAGAAGTACCTGGAGATAGGTCAGTATCTTGCAGTGTGCCAAGTGTTTTCATTTCCTTGAAATTTTGTGCATGGCTTTGTCTACACTCTCTGCACGTTTCGGCGTCCTTCTGCAGGCTTGTTTGGTTCCGAACGACCCGCTTTCGTCGCTCTGTCTCTCTCACACTCATGGGCGTCGCGCAGGGGGCGCGAGAGAGACAGAGCGACGAAGCTCAACTCGGAATCAGCGCGTTGAAGGCTGCTGATGTGTTCCGGGGTCCCTCAAAGGCCGCCGCGGGCGCCGAGCGATGGCAGGCCATGGCCTGGCGGTGCAGGCCCCGAGGCCGAGGCCTGTCGGGGAGGGGGCGGGGGGCGCTAGGCCTCGGGCCGTGTGTGGTCAGGCCGGGCTCACAAACACTGGTGGGCCCCGGACCCCAGTTAGTGGCGCTAAAGTAAAACAAGGGCCAGAATAAACGCGGCCACGCACCGGAAAAAGTCCGCACCAGGCTAGTTGTGCCGCGGCCTGTAAGTGTGTCTATATATAACTGGTGGCGGCGTTCCCCCGGGGCCACCGCGCCCTGCCGTGGCGTGCCGCAGCAAATTTCCTTTCATCCCATTACGGCCTCGGAAAGTTTGGCGCGGAAATGTTGCTTTTATTTGGTTACACGAGGCCGGCGGTACAATGTACAATGGCGGTGGCGGCCTGGCGGCCTGGCGCGTCGGGTGGTGACTCGTCGGCGCTTCGCACGCATTCACATTCACACGGCACTGGGTAATCTCGGCGCCGAGCCCAGCAGAGTCGTTCTCGTCGCTCTGTCTCTCTCGCGCCCTTGCGGGACGCCCCATGAGTGCGAGAGAGACAGAGCGACGAAAACGACTCTCAGTGTGCTGGGCAGCCCAGGCCACGGACAATGCGCCGCCGAGGCCGGGCAACGCAGGCCTAGGCCAGCGGCGGGGCCGCTCGCCGCGTCACCGCCCATTTAAAACCGCAGCCGCGAGTCCTTTTTGTTGTACGGCAGCGCTAAACACATTGAAAAACGCGACGACGAACAACGGGCCGGAAGCGGCCCGGATTTATTAAAACGGCGTGTCTTGGTAATTTAATGGCGGGCCCTGCGGTGCGCGTCGGCGTGGCGGGGGCGGCGTGGCGGGGGCGGCGTGGCGGGGGCGGCGTGGCGGGGGCGGCGTGGCGGGGGCGGCGTGGCGGGGGCGGCGTGGCGGGGGCGGCGTGGCGGGGGCGGCGTGGCGGGGGCGGCGTGGCGGGGGCGGCGTGGCGGGGGCGGCGTGGCGGGGGCGGCGTGGCGGGGGCGGCGTGGCGGGGGCGGCGTGGCGGCGAGGGCGGCCCTGGCTGGCTATCCCGACATGGAGATGATCGTGTATGGCCGGCCTGCGGTTTGGCTCCGAATGGGTCCGAACAGGGCTGCGCAGGGCTGCGCCGGGCTGCGGGGTGGCAGGTACAGGCGTGCAGCGTGTAATGAGACGCGGGCAGGCCGGCCAGGCTGGCGTTGAGGGCAACAACACGACCGACATGACGCGTACTACCACTTGCAAAAGAAAGCGACCTCCCGGCCGGGCCCGGCACTACCCCACGTCCAGGCGGCTATGGGATCTCCAGCAGCTACCTGAGTGCGGGGTAGCGCCGGGCCCGGCCGGGAGGTCGCTTTCTTTTGCAAGTGGTAGTACACACGCAAACACACACTGAGGCGCGCGCGCACACACACACGTGTTGGCTCACACACGCACGCACACACGCAGCGAGGCCGTATCTCTTTTTCGCCGTGCTAACCGTGGCCTCTTCCTTTCTGTTGTCCTGCCCGCGCCTTTTGTTCCTGTCGCGACTTTGTTCGGCGTGCTGCCCGCCCCGCCCCGCTCCGCCCCGCCGCGCCGCGCCGCGGTCTCGCGGTGTCACATCCGGGCCAAGGAAGCCGAGGCGCGGAAGGCAAGGCGGCTTGCTCGCTCCAGGTCGGCGACGGAAGCTGCCGCTCGCGGCTCGGCCCCGCCCCACCCCGCGTATGCCACCCCTCGCTTGGCGGTGCACCGGATGTACGCCTGTCGCTTTCTTTTTGGCGCGGCGCCTTTTAAATTCAATAGACGGAGCGGGAAAGCAACTGAGGGGCGAAAGACAAGGACGCAAAGTGGGCGGAAAGGGTAGTTCGCCTTGGCTTCGCCTTGGCTTCGCCTTGGCGGCGCGCCGCGACGGGCGAATCCCTCAGACTTGTGTCACGTCACGTCAAGCGCGGCCTGGGCGGCCTGGGCCATGGCGCCATGGCCTGGGGCGCGGCACTGCCACCGCAGTCACGGCGACACGCGAGACGTGTCGCGCGTCCGGGCCAGACAGACTTATTCCGTTTTCGTCGCGCTGTCTCTCTTGCACTCGCGGGGCGTCCCGTAGAGGTGCGAGAGAGACAGAGCGACGAAAACGACTCTCGGAATCAGTGTGCGGCAGCCGCCGCCCACGGCACTGCTCGTCCCCAGCGGGGAGTAGGTGGGTCTGCGCCCTCCGGCCGTGCCTGCGCCGTGCCTGCGCCGTGCCTGCGCCGTGCCTGCGCCGTGCCTGCGCTGGAAAATAACAATGTCGAGGCAATAAAAAGAGTGCAGGCTGTGTTGTCGAGTCAGCGGGGGTTGTCAGGCCGTCAGGGCTGTCGATGAGATGGACGGTCTGGCGCACCACGCGGCGGACGTCCCTACGGACGGCGTTGGGGCGGGCGGGGCGGGCGGGGCTCCACCCAAGGTATTATCGCATCTCAAGGCTTAGCGCGGGTGAAATTATCTCGATAATAACGAAGGGCTTAGTGTAGAACAGCTGTCCTAATCCCCCGCCACTGTATTCCTCCACAACGCGTGTACCTACGCCCCTACCCCTTCTCTCTCTCTCTCTCTCTCTCTCTCTCTCTCTCTCTCTCTCTCTCTCTCTCTCTCACTTCCCCCTTGTGCTCGGCATGTGGTCCACCGTACCAGGCGTGGCTCCCCGGGGCAAGTCTGCTGTGCTGTATGCTGTAGTGTAGTGGTTGTGCTGCGCCGTGCTGCGCCGTGCTGCGCGCTGTAGCGAAGAGTTTACAAGGTCTCTGGAACCCAGCCTGGGGAGCGCACACAGAACCGACGGTACCCACCACATCGCCCCGACGGCGGCCGACCCGCGTCTTGTGTCGGCGTTTTATGAAGGAAAAGTGAAATAAGGGGGTTGTCGCTCTGCAATGCAATATGGCCGTGTTTTGATTGTTTCCTTCCCTGCTGCAGGTCTGAAGCCGCGCATGAAGAACCACTTCCGCGCGCACAAGATGTCCATCTGGCTGCGCCTCATCCCCGAGCTGCACCGCGCCGGCCAGGAGGACGTGGTGGCGCGGCACAACCTGTTCCGGAACCACAACGAGTCCTCGCTCTACGACGGCATCGTGCGCCCCGACCCGCTCGGCAGGGCCTACGCCTTCGGCCCCATGGGCTCCCTGGACCCCGCCGACGAGACCGGTACGTAGTCCTCTTCGTTTTCGAGTGTTGGTTCGCAGTGAACCACCAGCACACTGATTTCCGTCCTGTTGGCAGGCCTGCTGGGCGGCCGGCACGGCAACGCCACGCCGCGCCTGAGCGACGTCTTCCTGCCTGTGACCATGCCCACCTGCCTCAACATGACGGGCTCCTACCACGCCTTCGGCAACGGCAGTGGTGCGGCCGGGGGCGCGGGGGGCGGCGGCGGCGGCCACCACGGCATGGGGGACATGATGGAGCCCGAGGGGCTGGCGGCGTACTCCACGGCGCTGGGCGTCACCCTCGCCATCGGCTGCTCCCTGCTCGTGCTCAACGTCCTCATCTTCGCCGGGGTGTTCTACCAGCGGGACCGGACCCGGCTGCAGGTACTTACTTACTGAACAGCGCTCGTGAGGCTTCCATGACCTCGAGCCATACTCTGCGGCAATGTTTGGCCGTGCGTGGACTTAACCCTCCCTCCCTCCGTCCGCAGGTCAAGAGCCTGAAGCAGCAGCAGCGGATACGCGGCGCCTGCGAGGACCTGGCCGGCGGCAGCGGCGGCGAGAAGCACTCGGCCGAGAAGCAGTTCCCCCACCTGCGGCACTCTTTCTCGTCGAGCGTCATCGTGGACATGGAGCGCGAGAAGACAGCGTGCGGCGGCCAGCAGCAGCAGGTACACTGCCCGCTGCACGCGGCGGCCACTGCCCCGGCGGACGCGGGTTCGAACGCCAGCCTCACCCCCGACATTTTGCAGGTGCTGCACTGCGACAAGTCGCCCGTGGCGAGCATGAAGTCCTCCAAGAGCGGCGGCGGGCTGTCGGCCGGGCTGGCCGTGTACACGGGGCAGCCGCCCAACTACACGTCGTACCTGCACCAGGTGGCCGACTACTCGGGCGGCCACGGCAGCTCGGCCGGCGACGACATGATGCTGAGGCACTCGTTCCACAGCTCTACGTTCCGGGACGGGCCGAGCCAGGCGCACGGCCAGCACCAGCAGCACCAGCAGCACCAGCACCGAGGCACGGCCACGCTGCCCAGGAACATGGGCGTGCTGGGCAAGGCGCAGGAGGGCGTGACGCTGGGCGTGGTGGGGCCGGGCCCCAACGTGGTGCAGCCCAACGGGTGCGCCGGCCAGCCGCTGCACCACACGCTGCCGAGGCCGCCGCCGCCGCCACGCGTCAACAGCAGAGCCAGCGACCCCGGCGACCCGCAGAGGGACCTCCGGCTGCCCCAGGCCGCCCTCAGCGAGATGCGGGTGTGAAGGCCGTGAAGGCCGTGAAGGCCGTGAAGGCGGGCCGTGCCGCGGTGCCGATGCCGGCCCGGCCAACCCGGCCAACCCGTCGCCGCCAAGTGTCAAACTGGGGACCGTGCGGACTTTGGGAACTTTCGGGCCAGCCCGGCCAGCCGCACTCCCGCTCCGTGGCTTCGTCCATGTCGGGGACGCGTCTTTGTCGTTGTTGTTCTTCTACCTTGATCTGGGCCCCCCACATTTCGCGAGGGTGCCTTCCACGTGCATTGTCGTGAAGTATGGCAGGCCGAGAAAACTGAGGGGTCATAGAGATATTTTTCGTCCCGACGTGGATCGAGCCAAGCTCACCTGCAATGTACAACCACAGAGAACTTTAGTTTGCCTCTGAGTGTGCAGAGGTGGTGAAAAATCATTGATCTTTGCTGGAAGATCTGACCCTGTCCTTGGTTGCATGTGGAAAAAAAAACAGTGTATCCACGTGCAGGACAACATTTTTGTTTTAGAGCTGTAAGTCGCAATGACTGTCACTGCCACGGAAAAACTCCGCAGACAGAGTGCTAAAAAGTGTATATTTCTTGTAAAGTGGATCAACAACCTTGTTTTATTTTTCTTTCTCATTCCACTAGAAATACAAAAAAAAACTTTTTTAAAAATGGCATTTGTGTAAATAGACTGACCAGTCGCACTAATGCGCTGGGCGCCAGGAGCACTGAATTCGTTATGTTCTAAAGACGTTTTTGTTGTTATTTTGTGGCCAAATTCTCTGAAGGCTCGTGCTCAGAACTTCGAGAAACACTTATCTATGCAGAGAGAGGAGTGTAAGTCCGAAATGCTCACAATTTCACAACCGTTAATTTACATATTAACCTTCTAAACCTCATGTACTAACTATGCGCTGATGGTGTGAATTGAAGTTTGTTTTATATACTGATGAATGAAAGCAGAACTATGAAGTAGCTAAATGAAGACAGATCGTAAACTTCTCTACGTAGATGGGACAAATTGGTATGAATTGAGTTATTTCTAATAAAATTTTATTCATGACACCCTGTAAATTTTATTTTTCCTGTGCAAGCAACAACTTACAAGTCTCCTAAAAGCAATGGTTTTGTGTACAGAAATGCACCTACTTTACTTTTTCAAAGGACAGTCCTAACAAAATTATCTGAGACGCAAAAGAAGAAACGAAAAAGTCCAAGGGTCGTTTTAATTTCATGCCACCCAAGTAAGTCAAACTTCCTAAAGTCACCCATCATCCTCATTATGAAGCAAGACCAGACCGCTTGCTCAAGTGCGCACAATAATAATAAATATAATATAGCACTGGGTGAAGCAGTCACACAACAATACAGCCGCCGTTCCCCTCCTATTTCCCCGCTTCTGTCGTGCCGTCGCCTCGCGCCACCCTCCAGCAGTGTAGCAGTCTGATTAGCAAGGCGACAGCAACCCTTATTAAGGGGGGAACACCCGCGGAGTCCACGGCGGTGCCCCGCCCCGCCCGGACCAGTGTGCGCACAGGCCTTCCACTTCCATTCCGCGCTTTCTCCACACACTGCAACTGAAGAGATAGGCAACCCAAATCCCGCGCTAAATAAACATTTTGAACCAATCAGAACAGAAAGGATGTCGGGAACAGGGACGTTAGTTCAGTGCTGGTGCGGCAAAAATGTTGTGTACAAGGGGTTGCCTACTTTCCGGCGCAGGCTAAAAAAATCCACTTTTTTGCTAGAAATAAGCAGTTTATGGCCGCAAGGGTGCCCGAAATAGGGTCAGAAGTCACAAGGGAGTGTTCCAGCACAACATACCTCAATTTGGGCCATTTTAAATTTTTGGCCTAAAACGTGAAAAAACCATGATGTATAGCCTTAGCTTTTTTTCGACGAAAACGGCCGACCACCTCAGATTCGTCTGAAATTCGTATGGAACCTTGGCATGGGCCTAAGGAACAGCTATCCGGTACCCAATGGTCCTAGGCACATTCTATTTGCCGCGAGAGCGACTTTTCCCGTGACGCCAGTTGAGTGCTGATTCGGTGAAAATGCTGTGTACAGGGGGTTGCCTACCTTCCGGCGCAGACTAAAATTAATTCCACTTATTAGCTAGAAAGAAGCAGTTTATGGCCGAAATGGTTCGTGAAATAGTGCCAGGAGTCATAAGGGAGTGCTCCTGCACAACATACCTCAATTTGGACCATTTTAAATTTTTGGCCAAAATCGTGAAAAAACCATGATGTATATATAGCCTTAGCTTTTTTTCGACGAAAACGGCCGACCACCTCAGATTCGTCTGAAATTCATATTGAACCTTGGCATGGGCCTAAGGAACAGCTATCCGGTGCCCAATGGTCCTAGACACATTCTATTTGCCGTGAAAACGACTTTCCCCGTAACGCCAGTTGAGTGCTGGGAGGTGAAACGGCTGTGTACAGAGGGTTGCGTACCTCCCGGCGCAGGCACAAAAATTTCCCCTTATATGCTGGAATAAGACAGTTTATGACCGCAATTGTCTCCGAATATGTAGTCTTTAGGGCGTGCTCCGGGTCAAAATGGTGGAGACTTACGCTTACAGCGGACAAGCCGCTGCAGTGGTGCAAAACGGACTGATGCTGCGCAGCAAGGACCGCCTGGCGTCATCAGAATGGACCGATCTTTTTGCCGTTTTAGTGCACAAAAGTAACAAACATCAGGTAAGGGCAGGATCGCCCGTCGTGGCACTTCCGGTGTGAGAGCGGCCCGTCCGGGACGACGTGCCCGCGACTACATTCACGGCGCCCGCCGCGTCGTCGACGTCGTTCTAATTGGCACTCCCAGCCACTTCTTGTCCTCGACCGCCACCGGCGCCACATCTCTCCACCTGAGCCTCTCTCTCTCTCTCTCCTCTCTCTCTCTCTCTCTCTCTCTCTCTCTCTCTCTCTCTCTCTCTCTCTCTCTCTCTCTCCCCTCTCAAATATTGAAGGGTCTTTCGGCGTGCTTCGCCACTTGTTTGCACACTTGCCGTGTTTAAGTCGCTCCCACGGTTGCATCGAGGACGTCGTCGAGGACGTCATCGAGGACGCCGTCGAGGACCGCGAAGACCGACGCGTTTCTCCAGTTCTCGGCTGACGTCGTTCTAAGGCCTCCAGTCATTGACGGGGACCTCAATCTTAGGTGCCACTTTTTTGGCGAGCATCCTCACCAGCGCCGTCCCCACCGTCCTCGCTGTCCCCACTGTCGCCGTCGTCTTTGCCGTCCCCGCCATCCACACCGTCCTCGTTGTCCTCGCCGTTCTCTTTGTCCTCACTATCCCCGCCGTCCTCACTGAACCCCACTGTCTTCTTCCTCCTCGCCGCCCTCTTCCTCCTCGGCGTCCTCGGCGTCCTCGCCGCTCGCCGCCACTGCGATGTTTGCCCGAGTCCCGAATCTCAAATCCCAGCTTGGCCCGCCATCCCATCATCCCGGCTGCTCCTCCGCCACTTTGCTGGGCCACCACTTTGCGCTCGGACTGGCGCTGCAAATCCCCTGCTTGCGCGGCTTGCGCGGCTAGCAAGGCTTGCCAGGCTTGCGCCAAGCCATCGCCGGTGGGGGGCTTTAAACAGTGTCTGCTGGCCTTACTTTCGCCGGCAAAGACATTTCAAAGCATTAGAAAAAGTCATGTGTGACGGCGCGGCCGGCGGGTCGGGGAGGAGGGGGTCATGACCTCGGCGCGTCTCGGCCGAGCATCGTCTTCAGCAGCCCCGAGTCCCCCCTGGCCCTCTCCACGCCCTCCCACGCACCGCTCGTCCCCCCACAACGTCAGGGACACTTCATCCAATTTATCCAGATCCCGGGGCAGGGGGCGCGGGGGCGCGGCGGGGCCACTGAGGGCGGCACGGAGCCCGGCCCAGGGGAGGCGGCCGAGGCCGAGGGGCAGGCCGACGCGGACGTCGCCGTCAAGACCAAGTCCGTCGCGGCAGGCAGGGCGGCCGGGTTGCCTACGCACGCGGCAACGCGGTGCCCCCGAGTCCCAGGGCGTGGATCGGCCGCCTTGGCTGAGCCGAGCTCAGCTCGCGGTGCTGGCCGCGGGTCGGACGGCCCGGCGGGTAGTCTGGCCCACTGGTCTGGCCGCGCGCTCCAGTGCACGGGGACGCGAGACGCGGGGGTGCGGTCGATCCCCCGGCGGGGCGCAGGCAGCCCAGGCGTCCCGGGCGACCCCGCTGGCCTCGGCGGCCCCGGCAGGGCCCATTCGAAGGCCGTCCTCAGCAGATGCTGTCTGTGACTACAACTAAGAGCGGGGCGGCGAGGGCCCGGGATGGCAAACAAGGCCGTCCTCCGCTCGGCGGACCCATTGGTGGACCCATTGGTGGGCCCACTGGTGGACCTGCCCGGCGCCGCCGCGCTCTGGAGCCGCACCTCAGCAGGGGGGCCGGGCACCCCTCGCCGCGCGATGCACCCTATTCAGCAGGCCTCCCGCACCACCCTACCCCCGCCCCGCCACGCCACGCCACGCCGCGGCGCACCGGGCCGCATGATAATGTGTTGATGATGGCGTTATTGTAGTGCCGGATGAACCACCCTACCTCTCTCCCTCATGTCCGACACCACGTCGGGTATTCAAATCAACCCGCCACACACACTCTCTCTCTCTCTCTCTCTCTCTCTCTCTTTCTCTCTCTCTCTCTCTCTCTCTCTCTCTCTCTCACACACACACACACACACACACACACACACACACAAGAGGCTTGCCGCTGGCCAGCTGGAGAACACCCAACGTCAACGTGCAAGTCTAAACGCTACACTCTGTGCTACTACTGTGCTACCAACCGTTGCGGGGATGGGAGCAGAAAAAAAAGGTTTTACGCCCACTGTGAGTTGAACCCAACCCCCATCGCTGCTCCTTGTCCTACCCCGATGACGTGTTACCCTCACCGACCGCCAATCGCTCGTGAGGGGTAGAATCGTGTGGGGAAACGAGAGCACGGCCCGAGCACGGCAGCAGAGGCCGGCAAAGACAGTGTTGTCTCAAGCGTCGAGTGTTGGCGTGCTCTCGGCTCTCGGAGGACGTCGAGGACGCCGAGCCCATCACGCCCGTCATCAGCAGACTGAGAGCCGTTTGCGCCGCTCTGTCTCTCTCGCACCTGTACGGGACGCCCCACGAGTGCGAGAGAGGCAGAGCGACGGAAACGACTCTCGGAATCAGTCTGCGGCCCGAGCAGGTGGTTACCGAGTAATTTGCTCGGCGCACTGACGTCTCCACCTCGCGCACCTCGGGACAAGGCCGGGGCCGGGCAGAGCGGCAGAACGGGAGAGCCCTGCCCTGCCACCCTGGCCGCCTCAGGAGAAACGCGTCGGACAAATAATTCCCTTTTTTCTGTGGAGGCGGGCACTGATATACACAGTCCCTTCCTCCCTCACACACGCAGGGATTTCCGAAAAATATCGGGAAACATAACGAATAGTTTCAGAAACTCATTTAATGAGCGAAATGGCGTTTTAATCTGAGTCACTCACTCACTCACTCACTCACTCACTCACTCACTCACTCACTCACTCACTCACTCACTCACTCACTCACTCACTCACTCACACACACACACACACACACACACACACACACACCACAGCGTGAGAGACGCATGTTTTCAGGTGTGTGGGTGGGGGGGCAACA